TGAACTAGCACAAACAATCAACAAGTGGGATCTCTTCAGATTAAAAAGCTTCTGCACAGCAATAGAAACCACCAGCAACGTGAAGAGACAACCCACAATGTGGGAAAAAATCTTCACCTGCTTTTCCTCAGACAAAGGTCTACTATCTTGAATGTACAAAGAACTTAAAAAGATCAGACTCCCAAATTTAAAGACCGAATCCAAAAATGGGCTTCTAAAATGAACAGAGATTTCTCAGACAAAGAAGTAGAACTTCATGCTGTAGGTGAATTTTTCCAGTATCTTTTGCTATGGATCTTCAATTTCATCTCACTATGGTCTGATAATATACAGGAGATAACTTCAATTCCTTTGCACTTACTTAAACATGTTCAAAAAGCAAGTATGTGGTCTATTTTTAAGAGTGACCCATGTGCAGTTGAAAAGAATGTGTATTCTGATTTTGTGGGGTGAAACACTTTGTAAACATCTGTTAAGTTCATTTTTTCAAGAGTTTGATTGAGTTCTGGTATTTCCTTGCTCATTTTTTCTCTAGTTGATCGATCTATTTGTGACAGTAGGGTATTCAAGTCTGCCACTACTATTGTCTTAGTGCATATATGACTTTTCATGTCTGTTAGTATTTGTTTTATATAGTTGGGCACACTAGCATTTGGTGCATAGATATTTATGATTGTCATCTCTTCCTGTTGGAGTGTTCCCTTTACAAGGATATAGTGTCCTTCTTTGTCTCTCTTAATCAGTGTTGGTTTGAAATCCACTTGATCTGCAAAGAGGATACCTACTTCTGATTTTTTTCAGGTTACTGTTGCATCGAGTATTGTTTTCCACCTTTTACCTTTCAGTCTATGAGTTTCATTTTGTATTGTGTTTCTTGTATGCAGCATATTGTTGGATTTTGCTTCTTCATCCATTCTGCCAGTCCATTTCTTTTAATTGGTGAGTTGAGACCATTAACATTGATGATTATTACTGATAGGTATTGACTTATCATGGTCATAGCTTTTTCTTTTGCTTTTTTTGTTTTTTTTATTCTGCGTCTTTACATTTAATTTCTTGTATCTGATGGATTCATTCTGCTGTGCTTCCTGGGGTTGTGATCCTCATTGTCTTTTCCTACAATATTGTCTAAATTTTGGGGGGGGTTCTGGTTTGGTATTCGTGAAGTTCCTAAGGTGCTCTTTGTCATGAAAATATCTTATTTCTCCATCAATTTTGAATGATAGTTTTGCAGGGTACATCAATCTGTGTTGGAGGCTGTTTTCCTTTTGGCTTGGAATACATCACTCCAAGCTCTTCTTGCCTTGAGGGTTTTCATTGAGAAGTCTGTTGTGATTCTGATGGGCTTTCCTTTGTATGTGATTTGTTTTTTTTTCCTCTAACTGCTTGTAGAATTTTTTTCTTCTTTTGGGTTTCTGGAATTTTAACAATTACATTCCTATGTGTAGATTTTTTTTTAATCAAGGCTATTTGGAGTCCTATATGCCTCACTTATCTGTATGTCAAGTACTTTTCCCCTGCTTGGGATGTTGTCTGTCATTACTTTGGTGAACAGGTTTTTTTTTTTTATGTCATCTGCACTCTCTCCTGTTTGTTGACTCCAGTCTTCTTATGTTATTTTTCTTTGCATCATCCAGCACCTGCTGGATTGATTTCTCATGGTCCCTTACAATTTTGAAGCAATTTTTCTTTTCCTGGTCACTAATTACAATTTTATCTTCTGTATCTGAAATTCTGTCCTCACATTGGCTCATTCTGCTGTGTAGAATTTCAACTGAGTTTTTAATGTTCTAGAAATCTGTTTGTATCTGTTTTATGGATTCCATTTGTTTCCTATGTTGATATTCCATCATGTTCTGGAGCTCCTCTCTAGATTTATCAATCATGTCTTGCAGTATGAGCACAATCTCTGCTATCTGAGAAATTATTTCTTATTTCATTTTTTCCAGATCCTCTTTTGTTGCCAGTTCAGGGAGTCCAGGTGGTTCAGTATTAGAGTGGTCCATCTCATTTCCCTTTGGGGATGCTGTAGGTGCTCTGGGAAGTCTGGTTTTGGAACTTATTTATGTGTCTTCTCATTTTGACAGGGGGCTGCTATTGGTACCCACACGACTCACATCCTCTGTGCTGGGAACAGTGGAATGGCATCCCAGAAGCCCCTTCCTCTGGGCTGAGAGTGGTGGAATGGCAGCCAGTAGGCCCCTTCCTCTGCTCTGGGAGTGGTGGAACGGTGGCCTGGAGTCCCCTACCTCTGCACTGGGAGCAGTGGTATGGGTGGCCCAAAGCCCACTTCCTCTGTGCTGCAAGTGGTGGAACAGCAGCCCAGAAGCCCCTTCCTCTGCACTTGGAGAGGTGGACAGGTCTCTCTACATGATTCTGAGGTAGGTGGCCTAGGTTATGTTTGTCACCCAAAGTGGAGTTCACTAACCAAAGCAAAATTTTTCCCAATGAACTGAATTGTTCTCTTTAAACTTCTTTTATTTTCTTCTGGAATACTATATTTTTCATTATAAATATCTTCCACTTTATTTGTAAAATGAATTCCTAAACATTTAGTGCTTTTGAAGCTATTGTGAATTTTAATGTTTTTTGAACTTCTTTCTCTTTAGATTCATTATTGATGTACTCAAATGCTATTGATATTTGTGTGTTAATTTTGTGTCCTGCTACATTACTGAAATTGTTTATTAGTTATAGGAGCTTGTTGTGGAAAGTTTTGGACCTTCTCTTTAATATATCATGTCAGCTAGTAATTTTATTTCTTTTTCTAATTATTTGTATGTAAAATATTTGGATCTTTTGTTTTGTTTTGTTTTGGTACCAGGGATTGAAATTGGGACTTTGTGCTTGTGAGGCAGGCAGTGGCACCACTGAGCTAAATCCCTGGCCCCGTATTTGGATCTATTTTAAACTAAAGGTGAGCTTTTATATTATCTTTAACTCCAGTATATTAATACATGGATTATTTAGCATTTTCACCTGGCTTATTTGTAAATTTGTATGACCTCGGTGGGAAATCTGGCCCTCACAATCTGTTTTTTTTAATTATTGAATTTCAGTCATTTGAGAGATCCAAACAAAAACAATGCTGAGATTCCACTTCACTCCAGAAAGAATGGCTGCTATCATGAAATCAACCAATAACAAATGCTGGCGGGGCTATGGGGAAAGAGGAACCCTGCTCCACTGCTGCTGGGAGTGTAGACTGGTGCAACCACTGTGGAAATCAGTATGACAATACCTCAAAGAACTAAGACTGGAAGTTCCATTTGACCCAGCTATTCCCCTGCTGGGTATCTTCCCCAAAGAATTAAAAGAATCATACCACACTGATATATGTGCACCCATGTTCATAGCAGCACAATTTGTAATAGCTAATATTTGGAAGCAGTCCAAATGCCCATCAACTAGAGACTGGATAAAGAAAATATTTTTTTTTATAAAATGGAGTACTACTCAGGCATAAAAAATGAGAAAGTAGAGACATTTATAGCTAAATGGATACACATTGAGGTGATACTCCTAAGTGAAATAAATATGACACATGTGTAAATATCAAATAGTTTCTCTAGTGTGAGAAACTGAAAGTGTAAATAAGGACTAAAAAGTATAATAGATAATGTGAAATAGGAAGAAAAGGGGGAAAAGGGGGAAAATGGGAAGGGGAAGTGGGAGTGGTAGGGGAAAGGAAAGAAGGGGATGGAATTAATATGAGAAAATGACAAGACGGAAACAAAGTCTTTGTAAATAGGGAGGGATGGAGGGGTTGAAGGGAGGGCAGGGGAAGGGGGAAAAATAAGAACCAAGAGAGACTATGAAAATGTGCAAATTTCCAATGATGAATGTAATTATATTGTATACCTAAAATGTACCAAAAAAAAAAAAGAATAAAAAATAACATTTTCTTAAAACTAGTAAGGGACCATAAGAAATCAATCCAGCAGCTGCTAGATGATGCAAAGAATAACAAAAGACTGATCAGAGTCAATGAAAAATCAGAAGAGAATGTAAATGACCTAAAAAACTCTTCACAGAAGTAATGGCAGAAAACTTCTCAAGCCAGGGAATAGAATTTGACATACAGATAAGTGAGGCATAAGGACTCCAACTAGCCTTGATCAAAAAAAACCACAAAACTTTATACCTAGGCCTATAATAGTTAAGATTCCAGAAACCCAACAGACAACCAAAATCCTACAAGCAATTAGAGAAAAGAAGCAAATCACTTACAAAATAAAGCTCAACAGAAATTTCTCAACAAAAACCCTCAAGGCAAGAAGAGCCTGGAGTAAAGTATTTCAATCTCTAAAAGAAAACAACCTCCAACCCAGATTGATGTACTCTACAAAACTATCTTTCAAAATTGATGGAGAAATAAGATACTTTCATGAAAAAGAGCACCTGAGGAATGTCATAAATACTGAACGAGCACACCCCAAAATAACAAGGAGGATCACAGTCCCGGGAAGCCCAGCAGGATTAATTCATTCCATTAGGAATGATAAGAAATTAAATGGAAAGGGAGAGAATACAATGAAACAGAAAAGTCATGACAAGGATAAGTCAGTACATATGAGTTATAACCATGAAGGCTTATGGTCTCAATTCACCAATCAAAAGAAATAATCGACTGGCAGAATGGGTCAAGAAGCAAGATCCAAGAATATGATACATACAAGAAACACATTTCATTCAAAAAGAAACTCATAGACTGAAAGTTAATGGGTGGGAAACTATACTCCATGGGACAGAACCCCCCCCCCAAAAAAAAGCAGGAGTAGTTATCCTATTTCCAGATCAAATGGATTTCAAAGCAACACTGATTAAGAGAGACAAAGAAGACTACTACATCCTTGTAAAGGGAACAATACAAGAAGAAATGACAATTATAAAAATATATGCACCAAATACTAGTGCACCCAACTATATAAAAATGATAACAGACATTAAAAAGCACTAATACAATGAAATAGGCACTAATACAATAGACCTCAATATACCACTGTTACAAATACATAGATCAACTAGACAAAAAATGCAAAATGAAATGCTAGAACACAACCAAACTCTTAAACAAATGGACTTAACAAATGTATACAGAGTGTTCCACCCCACAAAGTCAGAATACACATTCTTTTCAGCTGCACCCAGGTCCTTCTCCAAAATAGACCACATACTAGCTCATAGCACATGATTAAGTAAGTGAAAAGGAATTGAACTTATCCCCTGTATACTATCAAATGTAATGAAATGAAATTGGAGATCAATAGCAAAAGAAACCACAAGAATTTCATAAACACTTGGAAATTGAACAACACACTTCAGAATAACCAATGGGTCACAGAGGAAATTAAAGAAGAAATCAGACAGTTCCAACAATTAAATGACAATGTCAACACAACATATTGGAACCATGGGACACATGAAAGCAGTCTTATGAGGGAAATTCATAGCACTGAATACTCAGGGAAGCAGAGCAATCTTAAATAAACAACCTGATGCTGAACTTCAAGCTTCTAGAAAAACAAGGGCATGACAAACCCAAAGCTCACACAGGGAGGAAATTATAAAGATCAGAGAAGAAATCAATGCAATGGAGACTGAGAATTATACCAAAAAAATCAATGAAGCAAATAGTTGGTTCTTAGAATAAACAAAATTGACAAACCCTTAGCCAATCTTATCGAAAAAAAGGAAAGAAAAGATCCAAATCCATGCAATTAAGAATGAAAAGGGTGAAATTACAATGGACCCAGCAGAAAAAGGATCATTAGTACCTACTTTGAGAGCCTATAAGCCAATAAGATAGGAAACACAGAAGAAATGGACAGATTTTTAGATACATATGAATAACCAAAGTTGAACGAAGAAGACCTAAAAATTCTAAACAACCCAATATCAATCAATGAAATTGAAAACATAATTAAAAACTTACCAATGAAGAAAAGTCTATGTCCTGATGGCTTCACTGATGAATTCTATAGGACATTTTATGAAGAACTATTGCCACTCCTATTTAAACTCTTCAATGAAATTGAAAGGGAAGCAATACTCCCAAATTCATTCCTGGAAGCAATCATCACCTTGATCCCAAAGAAAGACCCAGCCAAAAAAGAGAACTATAGGCCAATCTCACTAATAAAGATGATGCAAAAATCCTCAATAAGATACTGGCAAATAGAATGCAGAAGTTCATCAAGATCATACACCCTGACCAAATGAGATTCATCCCAGAGATGCAGGGATGGTTCAGCATATGCAAATCAATAAGTGTAATACAGTATATTCATAGAGCCAAGGACAAAAACCATAAGATCCTTGCAACAGATGCACAAAAAGCATTAGACAAAGTCCAACACATATTCATGATAAAAACTCTACAGAAAACGGTAATGAGCAGTCTCTATCTCAACCTAATAAAAGCCATCTATGAAAAACCCAACAGCCAATATCATACTAAATGCTCAAAAACTGAAATCCTTTACACTACAATCAGGAACAAGACAAGGATGTCCACTATCACCACTCCTGCTCAGTATAGTTTTGGAAACATTAGCCACAGTAATTAGACAAGAGAAAGAAATAAAAGGAATAAAGATAGGAAATGAAGTCAAATTGTCATTATTTGCAAACGACAGGATACACTATAAAGAAGACCCCAAGAACTCCATCAAAAGTCTTCTAGACTTAATAACCAAATTCAGGAGACTAGCTGGATGCAAGGTCAACACACAAAAATCAATAGATTTTCTATACACTAACAACAGATTCACTGAAAGAGGAACTGAAGAAACAACTCCTTTCATAATAGCACCCAAAAAATGAAATACCTGGGAGTCAACCTAAAAAAAACAAATCAGAGATCTCTACTCTGAAAACTATAGCTCTCTGAAAAAAAGATATCAAAGAGCATATTAGAAAATGGAAAGACATCACTTGTTCCTGGGTAGGAAGAACAAATATAGAGAAAAATCGCCATACTTCTAAAACTGCTATATAGATTCAATGCAATGCCAGTTGAAATTCCAACAGTATACTTCAAAGACCTTGAAAAAACAATCCAAAATTTCATTGGGAACAAGGAGAGACCTTGCAAAAACAATTCTAGGTAACAAAGATAGGGTAAGGGGTATTACAATCCTCCACTTGAAACTATACTACAAAGCTACTGTGATAAAAGCAGCATGGTACTGGCAAACAAATAGACCCAAGGATCAGTGGAACTTATTAGAAGATGCAGAAACAACTCCAGACATACTCCAACAACTCATCTTTGACAAAGGAGCCAAACACCCTCTGTGGAGGAATGATACCCTCTTTAATAAATAGTGCTGCAATAATTGGGTTTCCATGTTCCAAAGATAAAAACTAGACCTATTTCTCTCACCATGCACAAAACTAAAATCAAAATGGATTAAACATCTAAATATTAAAACAGAAACACTAAACAGCTGGAAGAGAGGTTAGGTAAGAATTCTTAAAGATATTGGTGTAGGTAAAGATTTTATGAACAAAACCTCAGTTGCCTGTAAACTAGCATAAACTATTAACAAGTGGGATCTCTTCTTACTGAAAAACTGCACAGCAAGAGAAACCACCAACAGAGTGAAGCAACAACCCACAATGTGGGAAAAATTTTTCACCTGCTGTCCCTCAAAGGTCTACTATCTAGAATCTATAAAGAACTTTTACAAAGCAGACCTCTCAATTTTAAAGACCCAATCCAAAAATGGGCATTTCAAATGAACAGACATTTCTCAAAGAAGTAGAAATAGCAAATAAAGATATAAAAAAATGTTCAACATCACTGATTATTATAAAGATGCAGATGAAAACAACACTGAGATTTCAATATGCACCTAGATGGATAAAATCAGAATGACAAAAGTGTGAAGTGAAAAGAAGAATCTGACAAGTATAAAGAAAATGGAAAGTATTTTTAATATCTACTTGATTACCATAATATATTTTTTCTATGAATTTAGAACTTTATGAAAAAAATGCAAACCTCTAGTATATAGTGAAGTAGAAATATATTAAGAGCAGAAACTCAGAAGAAATGATTAAGTGGTTATCAAAATTAAGTC